AGCTTCTGCTTCCTTTTACTGAAGGTCATCCACTAATTTGACACAAATTGCTGGAAAATGCTGAATCAAACATTAAAATTTAAAATCATTAAATTAGTGTTTCAATTTCAGTCAACATTGCAAGATTTTTTCTCATTTCTGTCCAAACTTCATTTTGAATGCAATTCCTTTCCTTATGTCATGAACAATTCCAAGACGATTTTACTATTCCTGTTTTCGAGTACTCATGGGATTTTAGCTTGTCATTTTCAACCTAATCCTTTCTATTTTAATACTTAAGCAGTCTGAATTGTAAGTTATTGAACGTGATAAAGGCTTTGTACTATGTAATTTCTGCAATACTTTCTTTATGTTTATGTTGTTAAATTGTGGGTGCTCCCTTCCATACACAGGAATGAAGAAGAGCTCAGGAAAGATGTTGCCTAGTTCATGCTCTTGTAGAGGACTTCACCATTTTTATTCCTTCTATTCTTAAGATTATGGTTAAACATAGGTTGCAGGTCTGCATTGATTTTTTGGGTTCTCCCTATCACTACTATGACAATATAAATGCGTATAATAAATTTGTTCTTGATAAGATAATTTTTGTGTAGGTCAATGATTGCAGCAGATTGTGTACCGCCAGTGAGGCTTATCAACAGAGTACTAAAGATAATTGGGAAGAGTGGATAGGCATTTCAACATTGAACTTTTGAAAGAATCACCTAGTCTAGCAATAAAAACATGTACAAAACTGGCTCAACTATAGGTATTACCTCTTCAACATCCTCATCCTTATCAGGATACCTTTATCTCAAAAAAATAAATAATACAAAACCTCTGTTTCATTGTTCGTTAGAAAAAGAAACAATAGCTTAAAGACTTTCTAAAAAAAAGTAAGCGCTTCTAGTTGTCTTACTTTTTTCTAATGTTGAATGTTTGCAGCCTTTTTGTTGGGGGAGAGCTGTTTGCTGCAGGTTTTGTTAGTTGTGGTCACAACTTAGTGAGGCTAGTACGGAGTTTAGAAATGACACTTTCTTCTCCAAATATCCCACCTTAAATTCTTGCTACACTTCTTAACTTGGTTAGTTTTTCCACATTTTTCGATTTTGAAGATATTGATGCATATGTTCTCACGAAATTTTTCCACCTGATGTTTTCAATTTGAGAAATTTTAGCATCTTCAAGGTTAGCTCTTCTATACTAGAAGAAAAGCACCTATACCTAACAACTATTATTAAATCTGCAATAAATGAAGTTGTTATAGCACCTCAACAAATTGAATGCATTTTTGTTAAATGTGCAATTTTTGTTGTTGCAGGATGGTGATGCTGAATATTCACTGCTTGTAAACTTTATTAGGTTGAATGATCTTCAATTGGCAAGGCGAATTTCCATCGAAATCTTGCATAATGATCTTGCACAGACTGCCTCCAAGGCTTAGCTCGAGTGGAAAAAGGGGATGGATTTGAGCACGATATTTAAGTGGAGAAGGGTAGAGGGGCGGGTCCATTATCCACTGAGTTTAGAAGGCTATGATTGGTCCAAAGGGTGGGCCACAGGCGGATTTCTCGATTATCAAAAAAAAAGAAAGATCTCACAGAGACTTTCGCGAACTCCAGAAGTTTTGATGATAGGGTGGGTATACTGTAGTTTGAAAAATTCTTTTTTTCTGTAGTTTTGCCAACACTCCACTTCTTTCGCTTACTGTTTAGGTTATTGTAATTCAACTTCTTAACACACATTTGCATATTTGCCGTGATAGCTCACCAATAGGGATGGTAGTATTTTCTTGAATGACGGGCTCTTGGAGATGAAGTGCATTCTCCAAATTCCATAGCACCTCACCCATAGATGGCCTGTGCACCAGATTTAGCTAAGTATTTCACTGTGTTTATCCAAAGTTGCTGAAGGATCTGATCTTACTTCGCCCAGAATGTCGGGATATATGATATGTTCCAGTTGCCTTTTCTCCTGCAAATTCATTGCCCAGTCAGCTAAGTTGACCTGCTCCCTTGGAAGAGATCGATCTCGGGCAGGCCTAGCACTTTAACTTCGCATATAATGGTTACCATTGGAGGAAGAGGGATGATGATGAAACTGTTAAAGAACTATTAAAGACACTCACCAAAAGGTGAAGTTATGCTCTATTGTCCTTATGCTCACTTGCTGGTAAATTAGTATCTATTGATGGAGTTGTGTATGTTTTTCTGATGGCATATTTAAAGCTCTGTGGTGAAAAGATGAGATAGCGTGGATGTAGTTTTTGTTTGACTAATAGTCCTTTTTCTTGATTTCTTTTCTCAATTTTAATAGTAAGTCATGGATAGAGTTAGATGAAACATTCATTTTTTAATATAGAGTTATGTACAGTTGTTTGAAACATTCATCTATAATCCGTTTCTTGGTTTTCCTAAAAAGAGATTGAAATAGAACGGAAGCAGCATGCTACACTTTACATTTGGGCACATTTATTTTTATTGGGATTTATGTGGAAGAAGACCAGCAGATATCTTAAAGTCTTTCTTCTGTTTCAGCCTTCGTGTATTTTTTTTTTTAAGTTGAGGATTGTACCATTTTATTGCTCTCTTTACAATATATTTTTGTAGCTTAACGTATTAGCTGCTGATGCAGTTCCCAAGGTTAGGTGTATTCTCTTTTCCACTAAGAGAATATAGGAACTTCAACTAAGAATAAATTAGGATAAGAAGAATTGCTTAAGTAAGTATGTTGCTGCATGGGCTCTACGAAGGAAGTGTTCGTATTAGGAGCATTTTCAATAGGTTTCTTTTGTGTATTTGTTCAATGAGGCCTGGGGCCTTCCATTTCCAAAGACTGTGGATCTGGCATTTGTATTTTCACATTGGTCTCAACCATGCTCTACTACCAGTCTTGCAACAGTATTAAAGTATTGGTGCAGAGAGATCGGTCCTTCACTTTCTAATCGTTCATGAATCTAGTTTTTTCAAGATCTAAAAATAAATCAATATGGTGGAATGGTGAAATAAGCTAGCTTGACCTTTCCATTTGATGTCTCTTCCCTACCAGTGACTTCTCAGGTATGTGGGAAGGGCATTCGTGTAGCAAGTTGATCGTTTTCGGAGCGACATGCATAGCAACAAAAGGCCTTTCTGTGATTATTCCATAAGAAAACTCAATCCTCTTTGAAAAGTCACTTCAGTTGTGCCTTCCCAGTCCCAAAAGAAAGTCATTTCAAATAATCCTTCTCATTGAAGGTGACTAAAATCCTATTCAAGGAATGAACCATCCATCAGAAGCTATACTAGTCAATTAGTTTTGTTTTGTTGTGCTTGCTTGCTTGAATTCCTCTTTACTCGATTCTAACTAGATTTTCACTGTTGAATCCTTTTTGTGTTATCTATTGAGATGATTTACACATGCTGATGATAGGATGTTCATTCCTTTATTTGCAGATGTTTTTGAAAGTCTTGGAGCACCTTTGAATGTTGCTAAACCCACAAAAGATTCAAGTGTGGCTATTTTTTGACTTGGAGCTGTAGGCCTTATTGTGAGTATTCTTCACATTGAAAACACCCTTCTTGTTCTGTTTGTTTTTTAATCCATATATATGTTAATCTTACTAATAATGATCTAATCTCTTTTGGTCAGGCTGCAGACGGAGCAAAAATTGCTAGTGCTTCAAGGATAATTTGTGTCGATTTAAATGCTAGCTGATTTCAGTAAGGTAATTAACTTGTGCCTTACACATTCTCGATCCATTATCTTATATAGCAAAGCAACTAATTCATCTATTTTACTTTTATTTTACAGCTAAGAAATTTTGCGTGAAAAAGTTTGTGAACCCGAAGGATTAAAGTAAACTAGGTCAAGAGGTACTAATATCTGCTTCTCCTAATGGATCATTTTGCGAAAGAAGAAAAAGACAAGTGTGAGTCATAGTTGATCATCTTTTTTTGAATTTTGATTATTTGATTAGGTAATTGGTGAGATGACTGATTGCAAATTCGATCTGACTGTGAAGTGTACTGGTCATATTGATACTATGATTTCAGCATTTTTGAATTGTCCATGATGTATGTTTTCTATTATGAAATTTCCTTTATTGTATATTATTATTTATATAATAATCATAACGAACATTGTCGTTATTAATTTTCAGGTCTGGTAGTGGTTGTTCTTATTGGTATGTAACCCATAAGGAAGCTGTGTTCAAGACACACCTTTAAACTTTCTAAATGAAATGAATTTCAAAGGAACCTTCTTTGGAAACTACACACCTTGTTTGGATATTTCTTCTGTTGTTGAGAAATACATGAATCAGGAACTTGAATTGGAGAAATTCATCACTCATGCACTTCCCATACAATTAAATTGACAAGGCTTTTTGAATTAATGTTGAAAGGAGAAGGACTTCGTTGCATCATCACCATGGAGGACTAAACTTACTGTCCTAGAAAAGGAGCTTCTAGCTAGTCGCTTTTGTTTGAGAAAAGACCATGAATTGGGTGGAACACTATGAGAAGGATCCGAAAGCTGCAATGGTTGGACTATTGAACATGATATTTGAGGTAATTTGGTAAGGTCCCTTCTTAAGTGTTCTTTGTCAATGAGAAATTATGTTGGTGTTGTTCCGCCATACTACTCCGGGATACTAAATTCTTTGAATGCTCGCCAGTACGTGTTTGAAAGTTCTATGTGTTATATAACCACTGCTATGATGAGGAATTATCAACATCTTATACACAAATTTATGTCTAATAAAGCAAAAATTCCCTATCTTCTTAAACTCATTGTTTATATGAACCTAAACCTCTATTCTCTTTAAAGACAAGATTAGGTGCGTTTGTGAAACCAATTACAATCATGAACTATATACGGGATTACTAATGTGAAGTATTTTTTTACTGGTAACTCAAAGTTGTTTTCTTTTGCTTTTCCAGATTTTTAAATGTTTTGTCTTTCTGATGAACGAGTCATCTTTTAATCATGGTGAAAGGGAAGCTCTGAGATCTTGTCTAGAAGCTTTGAATTTCTGGGCTGCTGAGATTTGGTGGTAGTTACAAGACTTCACCCTCAACATATTGAATAGGATTATAGATGAGCTCATTATCAACGTATCATTGTTCCTGAAATGGGCATTAGTGCAGTATGGAGAATTGTAGTATTTAAGATGGAGACTTTCATCAAATGCTCCCTCAGATGTCTGCCTAGTCTTCCTTCAGGTGCAGTTGTGGAACTTATTACGATTATGAACTGTATAAGGAATTGCCAATATGAAATAATTTTTGAACTAGTAACTAAAAGCTGTTTTCTTTGCTTTCCAGGATTTTAAATCTTCCGTCCTTCTGGTTAAAGAGGCATTTATTTAGAACGGTGAGAAGGAATCTCTAGAATCTTGTGTAAAGCATTGAACTTCTATGCTTCTGAGAGTCGTGGGGAGTTGTAGCTTGGTTCACTCATCTCCTGATAGTGCCTTGTATGTTCGCTTTTCGTTAATTGAGTATTTTTTTCTTGGTATAGGTTGTGTTCTTTTTTCAGAACGTTGGCTAATCAGGAAAGCAACCCTTGTATCATCCACAGAGCTAGAAGCTTTGGGGTACTCATCAGATATATGCAACGGAAGCAGCTTCCAGACTTGGTAAACTGATGATGGATGCCCTTATTTTCATGCATATGGAATTGAGAAGATCCTATGGACCTGAAGAGTGGTTGCCCTCAATGGATCTGATGGGATAAGCTTGAACTAGGCAGTTAAAGGACATAGCTTAGTGGATGGCTGTCATACGGGTAACACTTCTTTAATTCATTTAATAAAAGGATATATTTTTGTCACAATTCTTGTGATTAATCAATTTGTGCGTTCTAACTTACGAGAGCTACTCTACTACTTCCACTTATGTTTTAAAATGCTATTTGTGCTTAGATGTAAATGTTCTAGGTGATAAAACCTCAGAGAAATAACGCACTTTAAAAAACGAGGAACACATGATGCAGGGATGTCAAAAACTTTCCCACAAATACAAGCACATACCCTTTTAATCCTAAATTCGATCTACAAGTTTCAGTCTGTCAGAGTCTTCAATGAGGATATGCTGCAAATGATTTGTCATCTGAGTAGAGTGGACATTACATTTCAACATGAAAATAGTATGTAATTTTTGTTAGAGTAGTATCTCCCTTAGTAGACTTTTAGTGAGCCTAGTCTTCCAATGTCTCAAGTTTGGTTGGAAGACATTAGAGTTTTCTAGCTGGTATCTTGTCGGGGCGATCTGAATTTCTGAATATTTGTAGCTATGGCTTGGCAAAAAGAACTGAAAGCCCCATGACATAATCTGAGCCTCTTTCTTTATTTCCCCATTACCAAAACTAACGGGCCTCTTCTAGTCCTTTTCCTTTCTTTCATTTTAGAAAACAAATAGAGCATTAACATCAGCAATAGCGGTAGTAGTTGGACCTCATTGTGAGTGATGCACTCTGTTAAAAAGCACCTCATAGTTCCTTGCCACAATCACTAGGCCATCCCCATGAGAACTCAATTTAGAAAATTTAGCAAGAGGAGGTAGAGCAAGACTCAAACTGATTTATTGCATGATAGCCTGCATTGAATCTCGTTTTGTTTTTATTAACTCAAATAGAGAGCATATGAAGTATATTTTTTTTATTTTATGACAGAATCTGTTAAATAATTTGAATAATGTTAAGTGATTTTCAGAGCTATTGCATTACTTTTAATGTAAAGTTATGTGTATCTCTCCATCCCCAAAATTAGTTTAGCGTGTTAATGTCATTAAAGCATTTGTCTGCTCTAGCCTCTCCTAGCTCAGCCTCTCAAACTTAAATCTGCAATAAAAGAAGTTGATGTAGCACCTTAATAAATTGAAGGGGACTATGTGTTGTAGTGATGCATTTTTGTTAAATGTGCAATCTTTCTTGTTGCAGGATGGTGATGTTTGAATATTCACTGCTTGTAAACTTGAAAATGTTGGATGATCTTTAATTATCAAGGCTCGAAAGGTTGCATAATAATCTTGCACAGACTGCCTCCAAGGCTTAGCTCGAGTGGAAGAAGGTGGTGTCGCAGGTTTGAGCCCCACACCATGCAAAGGGAAGCCCCGAATTTAAGTGGAGAGGTGTAGAGGGCGGGCCTATTATCCACTGAGTTTAGAAGGCTATGATTGGTCCAAAGAGCGGGTCACAGGCGGATTTTTCGGTTATAAAAGAAAAGAATCTTGCAGAGACTTTCAAAAACTCCAGATGTTTTGATGACTGGGTGGGTATGCTATAGTTTGAAAAATTCATTTTTCTGTAGTTTTGCCAATACTCAACATCTTTGTCTAGTAGTTTAGATTATTGGATTTCTTCTTCTTCACACGCATCTGCATGTTTGCTGTGATAGCTCACCAATAGGGATGGTACTATTTTCTTGAATGACGAGCTCTTGGAGATGAAGTGCATTCTCCAAATTTCTTAGCACCTCACCCATAGACGGAATGTGCACCAGATTATGCTAAGTATTTCACTGCGTTTCTCCAAACTTGCTGAAGGAATCTGGTCTTACATTGCCCAGAAGGTCGGGATCTATGATATGTTCCATCTATCTCTTCTCTTGCAAATTCATTGCCCAGTCAGCTAAGTTGACCTTCTCCCTCGGAAGAGATCGATCTCGGGCAGACCTAGCACAAAGAACTTCACATAAAATGGTCACCAAAGGAGGAAGAAGAAGGATGGTAAAACTGTTTAAGAACTGTTAAAGACACTCACCAAAAGGTGAAGGTATGCTCTATTGTCCTTAAGCTCACTTGCTCTTATCATGTCTTGTCATTTTCAAAGACAAATTTTTACCCTTTCTAGTCAATTAGTATCTATTGGTTGAGTTGTCTATGTTTTACTGATTGCTATTTTAAAGATCTGTAGTAAAAAATATGAGATAGCCTGGATGTTTTGTTTGTTTGATAAGAGTCTTTTTTCTTGACTTCTTTCCTCAATTTTAATAGCAAGTCAAGGATAGAGTTATCTGAATTATTCATTTTTTTTGATAAAGAGTAAGTTATTTACAGTTGTTTGAAACATTTATCTGTAGTTCGTTTCTTAATTTTCCTAAAATAAGAAAAAAATAGAAAGGAAGAAGAATGCTACCCTTTACATTTGGGAACATTTATTTTTATTAGGATTTGTGTGGAACAAGACCAGCAGATATCCCAAAGTCTTTGTTCTGTTTTAGCCCTAGTGGATTTTTATTTTGAAATTGAGGATTGTTCCATTTAATCTCTCTTTATAATGTATTTTTGTAGCTTAACTTATTAGGTGCTGAGGCAGTTCCCAATGCTAGGTGTATTCCGTTTTCAACTAAGAGAATATAGGAACTTCAACTAAGAAAAAATTAGGATAAGAAGAAATGCTCATGTAAGGATGTTGCTACAAGGGCTCTACGAAGGAAGTGTTTGTATTAGGAGCATTTTCAATCGGTTTCTTTTGTGTATTTGTTCAATTAGGCCTGGGGTCTTCCATTTCCAAATATTGTGGATCTGGCATTTGCATTTTCACATTGGTCTCAACGATGCTCTAGTACCAGTCTTGCAACAGTATTAGAGTATTGGTGCAAATAAATCGGTCCTTAACTTGCTAATCGTTCATGAATCTAGTTTTTTCAAGATCTAAAAATACATCAATATGGTGGAATGGTCAAATAAGCTGGCTTGCCTTCTCCGTTTGATGTCTCTTTTCTGCCAGTGATTTCCAAGGTATACGGGAAGGGCATTCATGTAGCATTTTGATCTCTTAGGGAGCAACATGCATAGCTACAAAAGGCCTTATCTGATTATTCCATAAGAAATACTCAATCCTCTTTTAAAAGTCACTTTAGTTGTGCCTTCGCAGTCCCAAAAAGAAGTCAGTTCAAATAATCTTGCTCATTGAAGGTGACTCAAATCCTATTCAAGGAATGAACCATCCAGCAGAAGCTATACTAGTCAATTAGTTTTGTTTTTTGTGCTTGCTTGCGTGAATTCCTCTTTACTCAATTCTAATTAGATTTTCACTGTCGAATCCTTTTTGTGTATATCTATTGAGATGATTTACACATGCTAATTATAGGATGGATGTTCATTCCTTTATTTGTAGATGTTTTTGAAAGTCTTGGAGCACCTTTGAATGTTGCTAAACCCATAAAAGATTCAAGTGTAGCAATTTTTTGACTAGATGTTGTAGGCCTTATTGTGAGTATTCTTCACATTGCAAATAACCTTTTTGTCCTGTTTTATTTTTTAATCCATATATTTGTTAATCTTACTAATAATGATCTAATCTCTTTTGGTCAGGCTGCAGACGAAGCAAAAATTTCTAGTGCTTCAAGGATAATTTGTGTCGATTTAAATACTACCTGATTTCAGTAAGGTAAATAACTTGTGCCATACACATTCTCGATCCATTATCTTATATAGCAAAGCAACTAATTCATCCATTTTACTTTTATTTTACAGCTAAGAGATTGTGTGACAGTTTGTGAACCCGAAGGATTAAAGTAAACCAGGTCAAGAGGTACTAAAATCTGCTTCGCCTAATGGATCATTTTGCGAAAGAAGAAAAAGACAAGGGGTAAAGGGGGTGGAGGAGAGGGGAAGGGGTATAGAAGTGGGGGGGCGGGTGCTTGGGGAAAGGGGCATGGAAGGGTTGGTAGGGAAGGGGTAGGGAGAAGGGGAACAAGAAAGGGGTACGGAAGGGGGTGGTGGAAGGGGAAAGGGTGGGTCGTGGGGAAGGGTTCGTAGAGGAAGAGGGGGGGGGGGGGTAAGAGAGAAGGTTGGAAATAGGGGGGAGGGGGAGGGGGGGTATGATAGAAGGTTCCAAAAAGGGGGAGGGGGGTATGGATAGGGGGAAAGGGGTGTGGTGCATGGGTAGGGATGGGGGTGTGGGGTATGGGTAGTGGAAGGGGGTGGAGGTAAGGGAAAAGGGTGGAAAGGGGG